ATCATAATGACTTAAAAATTAAACTATAATGTTTAATAAAACTAATATGTTAATTATATGTTTGCTTTAGTATTAACATTTTGTTTCAAAGTAGAAATATTAAATAATAATTTGGTAAAAGTTATTATTTTAACTATATAATTTTATTCTCGCGCAACGCACGGGATTCGTCTGATTTAAAAAATAAAGGTAAAAGATGAAAAGGTAAGGATGGGACTATGTATAATCCAATCAAAAAATTATTTAATTTAATAATTTGATTTTACCTACAGTGAATTGTCCTACCGACTGTCACTAGTTGACAAAACTGGACCTTATAATATTCAAATTTTAGTCCATATTATCGTAAGGGGAAGTTTAGCTAGTCATAATTTTATTTTTATTTTTGTTTTTAAGCGAAAATTATTAGCAACGGATCTTTTTTTCAACTATGGCATACTAGTAAACTAGTAATATTTGAATTGATTGGACAATTTATGGCTTTGTAGACACAAAACACCAAACAATTATCGTCTTTTATTAAATACATGACGAATTTTGATCTTGACATTTTCTTGTAGTCATTCTCTACCCCCTTATATAGATTTTCATAGTTAGCATCAACTAATTATTTGAACGTTTGATGTTGAAATATATCATTTTTTATTTTTTTGTCTCACTTTGACATTTAATACGGTAAAATACATTGAATTATTCTATTATTCTATATGCTTGTAGACCTAATACAACAATTAGAACCAACGGTGAGGAATTAAGCAAGCTTATAATATTAATTAAAAAAAGTTTATAACGTAAAGATATTTTTATGTACATGATGTCAACACGATATAACATGAACTCATGGTTGATAACCAAGCAATGTAACAATGAGTAGAAACTACACCAAGTTGTTTGCCGACTTTGCTATTTAACAATTAATAATGATTACATTTACCTCTCTGTTTTCAACTTTTAATATATGTAATTATTTTCATTAAAGTCATAAAACATTTTTTCGTGGATATGATTGGTTTTAATAATAATAATAATAATAATAATAATAATAATAATAATAATTATTATTATTATTATTATTATTATTTGTAACAATTTAATCAAAATATAAAATAACTTTTGGTGAAAACTATCAAGAATTTACAAAGAAAGATCGAATTTTAATTATAATATTGACGAATGTGGCCACATGCATAGAGAAGTCTGGAATAGTAACCTTTTATGGAAAAGTTTGTTTGACGAATGACGAAGAACATTTAAGAGCAATGAAGAACAAACAATACTTAATAGTCGATATAAATCAAAGATTGAAATTTTATATATATGATCATAGCAAAATACTCCTCATCCGGAGCTTGATCCTTTATATAAAACGAAAAAACCAAGCCCTCAATATCATCATTATCATCCATCATCATTCATCTTCATCATACATATGATGATGATATGATTGATCATTGGATCACAATTTCAAAAAATTGAGAGAGAGGAATTTAATTAATTATACACTATACACTACCCTATTAACTGAATCTCACACATATGATCAACTCCCTCGTTTTCTGAATCTTTATTCATGGATGATCCAAATGCAATCCTATGTACGTATCCAATCGGATCCCAAATTGGCTGTTTTCATTTCTCTGGTTTAATTATGTAGCGAACCTTCTAGAAGAAGAAGAACCACTGAACATTTGATCAAGAAGGACGACGAGGGCCATCGCAACGCTGGAATCAATCTCAGGCTGTACAACCAAACGGAAGACATCTCCGCCAAACGCAACCCCTGCCACCGCTTCCTTCCGTTTAATCTCAGCAACGCGCCGCCGCTTGTCGTCATACACAACGCAACTCCTCTGCGTGTAAGACCCTTCGATCTCGTAAGCCACGTTCTTCTTGTTGCCATTAATCTTCGGTGATCCTGATCCTGTAAAGCTTACATGCGCCAAGGACTTGGAGTTGAGAAAATTAACATGCTTCGTCACCGAGAATCGGGGATTTACCGTCGTCTCTCCGTCGTATATCAGCCAACTGTCCGTTAGCGTTAACCTCTGTTGAATTAATGAATGAATAAATTAATATATATTTCAGAACTCAATCGATCAAATTTAGGAATCCTATTAGTATATGTATATATACCTTTCGGCGGATGGTGTGGAGAGAGTGGCCGGAAGCATCCATGAGAACAATCTCGGCCTTGTTAGCGTTGGCGTAGTTGTCGACTCGAAAGACGAGGTTTCCCGTGATGTCGAAGACTGTGAATCCGTCGCAACTGAAGAGCAGAGATTTCTTCCACACGGTGAGGATGGTGGAGGATTGTGTAACTAATCGCGGCCGATCGGAAGGAAAAAGAGGCGGAAGTGGAACAACAGATTTAGGGTATACTTTTGTCATCACTCCGATTACTAATAACGATTCTCTGTGTAAAAAGATGAGAGAGAGAGAGAGAGAGAGAGAGATGTGTTTTTGGGTGGGTGGGTATTTGATAGGAGTTGAAGGTGGTGGTTAAGGGGTCTTTATACTCTCAACAGAAATCTATGTTTTCCAGAATCACGAAAATGCCCCCGGAAAGTGGAAATAATGGAAAAGCCAAGTTTGTAAAATGAATCAAGTTTCAACCGCTCGCTATACTTGGCCCTTGCAAACATCGATTGACATTCCCTCCAGAATCTTGCACTTTAAAAAGGCTTTTCTTTTAAAATTTTATTTTTGATGCCTATTCAATATATAGCGTTCATCTCATTTTTTGTCACAAACATCATCAAATTATTATTTATGTCACCAAAGTTTTAAAGATACGTCATCAGACATCAATCTATTTAAGTTATACCATTAATATCATTCACACAAGAGCCTAACGATTGAAGTGTAAAATTGTATACTATAAGCCCAATGTTCAAACCGTGGAATGTTAGAAGTATTGTTAGGTGTTGTTTGTTTTTTCAGCAAAATATTTACAGTCTGAGGATACATCTTTGTAGTAGAAAAAATGGACCAAACATCTATAATCTGCAAAAAGAAGATTGTTTGTTTTTAATATCTGCAGACTGTTAAAATAAATTAAAATTTAAATAAATTATTTTTTAAACATAAATGAGTAAATTTTTTTAATATAATGTGTTGATAAGAGAAAAACAATAAGTACAATAATGTAATAGCGGAAATTAGAGTGCAATATCATAAATGACAACTAACAGGAAGTCCATTCCTATTTGTTGTATTTAACACTTTGAAATTGATACAAAACAACATACATAGACAATGTATCCAAAAGACAACTCCAGAAAATATCACAAGCACTGCAATAAAACCAACAACCAACATAACCATAACAATGATTCAATTAAACTACAAGTCTAAGTGTTTGAACTTTTTCTCACAAAGATTATATTTTTTCTTTCACCAATAACCCAAATAAAGCAATATCAAGAAATTAATCAATTTAATATTCGTCAGATATAGTTGATGTCACGTTTTGACAGCTATCTAGGCAGGTTTCCCATAATCATATATTTGACATATTTTAAAACCGTTCCACTAAATTGAGTTATACAAACACCTATATAGTGATTACTGATTAACATGGTTGCAGAAATCGGGATTAATCGGTGATTAATCGTGAATTAATCGTTTGACGTTCTCTAACCGTCGAGGATTAGGGTATTAATCGAAAATTTAGGATTAATCGGGTTTGGCGGGATTAATCGGTCTTGGCGGGATTAATCGGTCAACAAAAGTCAACAAAAGTAAAAAAAAGTCGAAAAAAGTCAAAAAAATATCAAAAAAATTTTAAAAAATTCAAAAAAAATTCAAAAAATCAACTTTTTTTTTACTCCAAAATTTTCAAATTTTCAAATTTTCAAATATTATACCAAAATGTTCATTTTTTTTTTCTATTTTCAAAATTTCAAATTACAAATTTTTTTATTTTCTAATTTTGAAGTACTTGTCTTTCTTAAGATATATTAACATTTGATTAATTTTAAAATTTTATTAATAATCTATGGTCCCCGATTAATTCCCGCCAAGACCAATTAATCCCTTAACACCAGTCGACCGTCGAACGATTTTTACAACCTTGCTGATTAGGCATACCTATTCCTAATTGCAGTTTTTTTTTAATATTTAAAACCTGCACCAAAGAAAGACGATAAGAAAATATGCATTTGTTCGAATAAATTGGTTTGAAATTTGTCATTTCTTGCATAAAACTGATGTTATTTGAAATATTAGAATAGATTCTTATAATGATCAAAAGCAACAAAATGTGTGTCGTTATTACTTGCAATCTACAACAGAAAAATGCATAATTTTAAGACTTGGAGTTTTGGATGTGTTCTAAAATCACAATTTTAAATCTCCTTTTAGCAATCAAAATTTTATGACTTCATGAATTTGTAGAATAAATTAATTTTATTTTATACACTCAATTTTATGCATCTTATGATAAAAGTTATATTTTGATAAACCAAAACTTAGATGATGATACTTATGTTTTAAATCTCATTTGACATGCATAAAACATAATATCAACATGTTGCATTATGTTTAAAACACCAAGATCATATATTAAGTTTCGACTCAAAAGATAATCACTAGTTTTATTATTTATCGTTATAACGCTATAAACTGATTTTGATTTTTTTAATAAAAACTCCTTATTTAATATAAAGACATGGAGTTTATATAATGTTTAAACACCTTTTAAACCATTTCAAATATTTTAAAGTTGGGTAATTATAAGTTTTACAATAAATCTATATTTAACAAAAAATTGATTTTTAACCGGTAAAGTGGTAAAACGTTCTTATAAATATCCATTTATAAACATCTTATATTATCTTTTAAATATTTTTTTACTCAAACTCCAAGTGATATATCTTATGTTTAAATGTTGTTTGACTTGTAAAACTCATTTTCATACATAAAACATAACATACAATAACATAAAAATAAACATCGCATGCATGCATTTTAATGTGTATAAACCAAGCCATGTCATCACAAGAATTATTAAGTATTTCCTAAAGGACTTAAGAGACACTTCAAAAGGTCTTCAAGCTTCCACTTGCCAAGTCAACTCTTTCTTGCAAAAGAATTTCAAATCTTCATGTTGTAAAAGTTGTTGCACTTAAAACTATAATTAAGCTCAAAACCAAAAGTAGAAAGCTTATGATTGAGATTATGGTCTCAAGTGGTTAAGTCATCTTCGAAGTGGTCATCTCTTCATCTTGTTACATTTAAAAAGAAATACAACTAGTCTGTAACATCCAAAAAATAAGGTGCATTTATCATTCTTGAATCTTTCCCCTAAAGTATCAAATTAGTCCCTAAAAGAGGAAGGTTGGCAAGTTAGTACGCGAGGCGTACACATGAGTACGCGCGGCGTACTTATGCACCATGCAGAATCGCGAAGGCCACCTAGTATGTTGGGCGTACACAGGGGTATGCTGGGCGTACTAGGCTCAGTTGCAAAACCCTAATATTTCATTTGACCCTATATAAAGAACATTATGGACTCATTTCTAGCCACCCTTATCAGTCTCCAATCCTCCTTAAAACCCTAATCTCGTGTGTGTGGCTTGTGTGTGTGATTTTACAAGTTTTTAGTGATTCTTGGCTCTTGTAGTTGAAGAAGAAGGTTAGATAAGAAGAAGAATGTGCCATCAAGCTTAGAGATCCATAAACTTCCCACCTTTATGCATCATTTTCAGGTATAAAGTTTATACATTGGATAGTGTTCTTTTAGATCTCTTTAGCTTAAGATTTATGAGCTTAAGTCCTCAAGTTTGGACCTTTTTGGGTTTGGGACTCTCCAGAGAGTTTAAGCTATCCTTTCATGCATCTTAAGACATCTAGATTGATAAATTTTTTTGCTTGATCTTTCCTTTTTACTCATGCATGAGTAAAGTGGTTTGGAATGGATGAAATGATGTTTTAGCCTCTCCTAGCCATGCAAAGGCTTAAAGCCCACGACTTTATGGATTAAGAGGTTTTATATTGGCCAGATCTATAGTTGGAATGGTTGTGTTAATGGGTTAAGATAACAAAAGAGTGGAAATGGAAGTTCGTGGAGTACGCCGTGCATACTCCTAGCTACGCACAAGGTATGCTAATTTCACCCTGTCGCATGCTTAGCCAGTTGTACGCCCAACGTACTCGTTGGGTGTTGACTTTCTGTTGACTTTCTTTGACTTTGACCTTTGGTCAAAGTTTGGGGTTTTGGGACTGAGGGAAGGGCAACATAGTCCTTTTGCCCTTAGTAGGTTTAACCGTGAACTTTGGACTCGTGAGTGGTTTTGGACCTTAATTTTAATTAAGGATAATTATTTTGTTAACGAGGCAGAGTCTAGATCCGGCAGCTCGGGTGCTAGGTTTTCGTGTCATCAGTGTCAGGTGAGTCTCCTCACTTATTCTTACCTTTATGGTAGGCTAGTTGTAATATCATGACCAGATGGGTCTAGCTGTTATGTAATGCTATATGATGATATGATATTTGTTTGTGATTGGGGCTGCTGATAGCCAACCAAGGGTTGCGGATAACCTTATGAGCGTGCTGTTAGCTCATCGGGACTGCCGATAGTCCCTGGGTTGCAGATAACCCACAATTCTTTACTTATGCTGTGTTATATGTGGTATCTTGGGGAACTCACTAATCCTTTGAACCCACTTGGTTTTGGGGTGTTGATGAAGATAGCAAAAATCAAAGAATATGATTTTTCTATGTGTATCCACAATCAAGAGTAAGGCACTTCCTTCTTGAATTCTTGAATGTCTTAAGCCTTTAAGTGCTTAACTCAAATAAACACTGAAGGAGACAACTCAAGGAATCTTTAAACCAACAAACAAACTTCAAAAGAGAGAGAGAGAAGGAGGATCTAAAGAGGTTTCGGCCACAAGATTTAAGAGAAGTATTAAGAACAAAAAACTAGCCAAAACATACAAGACACATCCTTTATATACTTCATGCAAAGTAAAGTCTAACCATTAAAATACCATAAAGTAATGGCTAGTATAAGGAGCATGGGAGACAATGTATGGAGGTTGACAAGCAACCTCCATTCTTTAAATATAAATTCGACCATACCTTTAATTATAAGAAAGATTCTTCAATTTTTATAAACTCAAAGTTTATAAAATATAAACTTTGGCTTTAGGTAAAAGACAAAAGAATCCAACTAGTCCAAAAGGTTGTGCATGACTTAAAAATTCATACCATATGAAATAATATGTCACACCCCCAAACCAGACGGCGGAAACGTCCGGGGGTGGAGGACTTCATTTGTAGTATCACGACACATGCATTATAGTAATCAGAGTACAAACAACCATTGTATTTAAAAAGTATAAGTATTTACATGTGTTTCATCATTGTATACTGAAACCAAATAGTTATACAAAAGAATAAGACAAGACACAAATAGCTCCATCTTCTCAAAATCTCGAGGAGTACCTGTCTACTGGTTCCCTGAGAATACAAGTAATTT